GATGCGCATGTAAATGTGGAGGTGTGCAGGGGAAATGGCAATAAATAACGCAATTGACCGGTAAATAGAGAGCTGGCTGTGCTGAAGGACACTACCGAGAGTTAGTAAGTGATGATAAGAGAGGAGTTATGGTTGCTGGTAAGTAGTAGTGTTCTGCTGCTCAGGTGATACGAAGCTGAGTAAGGTGTGAGGAATATTGGCCGTACTGAGAGAGATTATACAGATTCTGTTGTGATTGCAAAGGGAAAAAAATCAATTGATGAACTCATCATCAAAACGCAGATACTTGCAATAGCATAAATAAAATATTTTGTCAAAAACTAAAAAAGGGTCCATTGAGTGCACAGTGCACTTGAGTTTAGGTTTTATGGCCATTGAGTGACAAAACATGGCTCTGTGTAATTTACAACTTGTACAAAACACAAAAATGCTAATTGGATAAAATCAGTGCAATTCACTGTTTTGGCAAAGTTCTTCAAAAGTTTAAACGATCAGAAGAAAAACCTACAAGCACGCAACTAAACATATTTGTTTTATAGCAGACGTTCATAACCAGAATGTTTTCTTCAAAGAACCAGCTATAAATAATTTTCAGAACAGCCAATAATTGGAAGTTGGCCAGATTGTGAAGCACTGGATGCACCAAATGTCCACCTGAATCACGACAGTGTTATTTGCCGTCAGTGATTGCTGTTACTAAGGCTGACACTGAAAATGCTAAACCGATCATGTGTAGTTGCTATCGGCTGTATCATTTGACAATGGAAGATGCCATTAAAGCTGACAGGCACTACTCATCAGCTAGCTAGAAAAACGGTCTGATAAAACGGGGGAGTCAGTGTTAGTTAGTGTCAGAGCAGCCAACACTAACAGCAACTGTCACGTTCAGTTGGCTTTGCCTTCTGTCAAGAAGGCAGTCGTAAACATTTAAAAATATATCCTCCCTTTCTCAGTATAAATACATAAACAAAAACACTTTCACTTACCGAATGGTAGAAAAAGGTAATTACTTAATACTTGAAGGAAGAAAATGAACTGTTGAATGTGTTGGCAGAGGAGAGGGAGAATGTTCATGCTACTCTTGGCGGTGTTCGAAGGCGATGCGGCTTATTGTCAGCTGCATTCAGTCTACATACAACGGAAAGAGAATACTTTTAGTAAAAAGAAAAGAGATGAGTTGACAGAATACTCTCTGGGTCTAGTGCTATTCTATTGAATGGCTCACAGAAGATTTGTTCTGTGCACTTACCAGTCAGATGGCGGCAATTAATCCTTCCCCACTACGGGTTTTCAAGACAGAGTGACATCTTAAGAGGTAGGAGTGGGCAATTCCTGAATTGAGTTGAGTTGCAGAAAAAGACAATCATCGAGTAAACGGCAGAATGGAGTTTACGATAAAATAATTGATTGCACCGAGAAACGGAGAGAGCAGTAGAATCAGTTCAAAGTTGGCCAATGGCAGCGAAAAATAGGTAACTGCAGCAACAGCCTCCTTCCAGCCAAAAGATGTGTATCACCGTGAACTAGCACTTCAGAAGTGAAGAAGAGAGAGAGAGAGAGAGAGAAAGAGAGTGGTCAGGTAGATGATGTAGTGGCGCTGAAGACCGTGCCGACAGATGATATGTGAGGGAGCAACAGGGTTCGGTTCGGTAGTCGGCAGGAGTGAAGTAGGTACACGGCTTTCCAGGGAAACGAAGAGGACATTCGTACACTGCTTGCACTGTGTGTCTCACTGTTCACTGTTAGATCGAATGACACACTGCTTCAGCTGACAACTGTCGAAACTGTGATGGGACGAGGTGTGCGCCGCCGATGAGGTCTGCACTGCGACCATCTCTGGCGCTACACTACAGCTCAGCGTGGAGTGGATCAAGTGCCAGTCTGCCACTCTCTCTCACTCTCTCTTGCTTGCTTGATCGCTGTTCTCTCGGTGTCTGTGTCAGTCTGCCTCGGTGGTCTGGCTACTATTGCGCCCGGTTGGATTCGGTGCGAGGCGAGAGGCGCGCGAGCCTTACCAGCCGATCTTGAATCGTAGCGCTGCTGCTCTCTGTCTTCTCTCCTCACAGCGGCAGAGGCACAGGCAGCTACAGACGGCGGTAGTGGCACAGTCAAACACACTGGATACCATCTACAACTGCAATGCAAAGGGGGAACATGGGAAAGTGCACAGCTTGAGAAGGCGCCAGTACAGGGCGCCAGTAATTCCAGTAATGGCGCCCACTGTGTAGCCATTACTCAGAGCAGCGCAGCGCCAGTGATGCGTTGATGCTGGAATGAGTTTGCGTAACCACTTTCTACACCTACAGTCGTGGTTGCTTGGTTGCCTGGTGCCACTATCAACGCCTCAGAAAGAGGAGAGCAGGCAAAAAGGAGGGATAGCTGACTGAGTGATGAATAGATGTATGGATGGATGGTGAGAAGCACAGGAAGAGACTGATCGCCACTGATTAGATGCACCGATTCGAGCATCTGTTCGATGAGCTGTGGCCAGTAGAAAAGGCTGTCAGGCAGTGAAATAATTGATGAGGTATTGACAGGTGTAGAAGCAACGACTTGAAGAATCAAGGCACTGATTCAGCAGCAGCTAAATGGCTCAATATGGTAAATAAAATAAAATTATAAGTTCTGTGAATCAAACAAGACGCACTGGCTAAATTGGTTAAATTGATCTAAATTGTACTTAGTATTTGTCTGTGATAGCATTGTTCATCATGCTTGGAAAATTGAAAACAAATTGGCGAAACATAAAGCGAAATGTTTTGCCTGATTTGTCAACGTAATTTGCATGTCTTCCAGATGAAGATTCTGCTTTCAATCTGCCCGAAACAGGAGAGAAATGAGGGCATCAGTGACTTCAATTCACAATTGACGTTATTGAATTACTGTATGAAACTAAAGTGGCCATACTTGAACTTTATGCTACGCAGAAATGGTGTCATTTCAAATTCCGGAACTCTTTGAGAAGAGCACAAGTGCTGTGCTTTCAGTGCCCACTGCCTCTGTTTGCTGTGTGGGTGCTTGCAAAGAATTGCGATGATTCGAAAATTGAATAAGCACCAAATCTCAGTGGCGCCCTTGAGAGTGCACTGCCTGTGCATACTGGCCCTACGGTAGACACTTTCCAAGTTGGCACTCAATCTGCTTTGCGAAAAAACACTTCACAGTAATTGAGAAGGAAATTAAATAACAGCCAAAGAGACGAAGCCAGCCTTGTTGAGCAGAGTTCTCACTCAGAGTTTAAGAATATTCAAGCAAAGGCTCATTGGAGCAAAGTAATAATTTGTAGACTTTAGCGAGAAATAGTGAAATGAAGTTTTAATTGTACTATATTAAGTAATTGAGTGAATGATTACAATAATGAAGGTAGTTAAGACGTAAGGAAGAAAAAGACAAGTCTTGTGTGTGTGGAAGATAAAAACTTGCGAGAAATAAGAGAAATAATTTTGATGAAAACAATAAGGGCGGGCATAGTGCCAAAAATTAATCTAAAAATATGGAGAAAATCCAAAATTGCAGCATTTTTTAAATGCAAACGGTCTTGAAGACGAATACAGTACGGAGATTTTTCATGAGGGAGACAATGTTTCCGTTGGTTGCGCACTTCAGTCCGGCCAAACCGCTGACGGTCTTGTTAGGATAGCGGAAAGTGGCTACCAGGCGACCGTTGAGTGAGTTGAAAACGTGAAGATGGAACTGATTTCCATGCGAATCACCAATCAGAACTTCGCCTTTGCTTGAAATGTCAATTCCGTTTGGGTAGTTGATGAGGCCTCCGGAAAACTCGGCGCCAATCTTGTACAAGAAATCGCCCTTATGATCAAAGGTACAGATTGAATGACCTTGAAAATCGCAGATATAGAACTTAAAGTCGTGGAATGCAATGTCGCCCGGTTCTCTGACGTGCAGGCCGCAGTTGAAGTGAAGCAGAAGTTGGCCAAACTCCGTCAACACCAGAACATCTGCCCGAATCGAATCCACGAGGACAATCTTGCGATCCTGGGTCGAGACTAAGCCAGAAACAATCTCAACGTTCGACATTCGAATCTGCCGTACAAACTTGCCTGCCATGTCGAAGATTTGAAGACGGGATCGATCAACGCCTCTATCGCAAACAACATACTGAGGGTTGTCATTCATGTTCAAAACTACTTGCGGGAGCATCGTTACCTAGTTTATAAATAAAAAATACATGCATTATAACGTTAGGTGAAACAAAGACATACTTTTCGAGGTTGGACAAAGCACCCAGGGCTTGCTCCGTAGATGCCAAACGAGAACTTGAGAGTTCCGTCCTTGAGGCCGAAGACCATGATTCGATGGTTGTCAGTGTCGGCCACGACGATGTCGTCATTCATGCCGAGACAAAATCCAAGTGGGACATTGAGAGCGTTATCTTTTCCAACGACCATCTTCAAGGAAATGTCGCGTGGGACATACTGCGGCGGCCTCAAATTCATGTTGTTGGTTGAGTCCACAGTATCGCTGCTGCTCGAAGACGTCACTTCGAAGGAAAACTGTCCGTAGTTGTTCATCGTCGGGGGATGGCTGAAGACGGAAGGATGAGGGGCAGATGTCTGAAGGTGGAAGTGAATCGTCTGAAGTTCAACGGTCAACTGACGGCGAGCGAGTGAGAGCGCGTGAGCTAGGTACGTGACTAAGTTCGTCGACCGCGTGGCTCGGAATGAACAATGGAGAGCTGTGAAACAGATATGGCGCAAAAAACCGCTCGCAGCGGCAAAAAGTGCATAGAAACTGGAAGCTATTTCACACGATGATAGTTACGCAAAAATCTACTCTCACTGTGCAAACAGCGGTCAGCTGCACTGCCACAAATGCGCAGAAACCGACTTTTACTCTTCTTGTTGTTTATTGAGCTTACTCAGCTGACAGATAGAACTTGGTGTGAGTAAACACAAAGCCAAGTGAAGTTTTCAGTTTTACCATCGTTTGAAGTTGTTAAAGAGTTGTTTTTATTAGAAGCACCCGAATCACCTTAAAAGATGGAAAATCATCTATTCAACTTGAAAATGGCAGCCAAGGAGCTGGAGCGAAACTCGAAAAAGTGCTTGAAACAGGAAACTGTAGAGAAGAACAAATGCAAAAAGGCAATTCAGCAAGGCAATATCGAAGGAGGACGCATTCACGCAGAAAATGCAATTCGCCACAAGAACAGCTCATTGAATTATCTGCGGATGGCAGCCCGTGTGGACGCAGTCGCCGCCCGAGTTCAGACGGCGATGATGACCAAGAAGATCACACAGTCGCTGGGCGGTGTCACGAAGGCCATGGACTCGGCGATGCGCTCAATGAACTTGGAGAAGGTGTCGCAGATTATGGACAAGTTTGAGAAGCAGTTCGAAGATCTGGATGTTCAGTCGAACACTATGGAGGCGACGATGAGCACCACCACGACCACTCTGACGCCCGAGGGACAGGTGGACGGCCTGATGCAGCAGATCGCCGATGAAGCCGGCCTGGAGCTTAACGTGGAACTTCCCTCTGCCGTCACCTCGACCATTGGCTCCAAGGCGAGTACCGCTGCAGAGGAGCAGCAGAAGCAAGATGACCTGTCAAGTCGTCTGGCTCAGCTGCGGCAGATGTAACCACCTGACCACATGCATGTCCCCATTATTGTCTCTGATCTGATTTGATTTGATGAACTGATAGTCGCTGAACTGTTACATTCATTTCCACCCTGTTCACCAATCACTTTTACGGTAACCTACTTGTCATAAGAATAAAGTATTTTCAAATTACAAAGTAACAAAAAGCTTATTTATTCAAATGTAAAATAGATAG